ACACAGACACACTGACAGACATACACACACACACACTGACAGACATAGATACACACACACACACTGACAGACATACACACAGACACGCTGACAGACATACACACACACATGCTGACAGACACAGATACACACACTGACAGACACAGATACACACAGACACACTGACAGACATACACACACACACACTGACAGACATACACACACACACACTGACAGACATAGATACACACACACACACACTGACAGACATAGATACACACACACACACTGACAGACATAGATACACACAGACACACTGACAGACATAGATACACACACACACTGACAGACATAGATACACACAGACACACTGACCAACAGGTTCAGAAGGGGGGCTTACCTGGGATCCAAAGTGCTGCCTGAGGTAGTTGGGAGTTGGAGGAGCTGGTCCTGCCCAGCCCCCTCCTCTCTGCCTTTTGCTGCTGTAGTCTTCTTGGGAGGACTTCCTCCCATGCTGATTAGATGGGGGCCCGTAGCTCCGCCCCTGCTGGGCGCCAGCCGCGCTGTGTGCTACAGAGGGAGCAGGGATATGACGTTCATATCCCCGCCCCCTCCACACAGTCCGCGGCACTGCAGGTTGGCGCTCGGCCACGCTACAAGAAGTGACCGGCAGGAGAGGGGAGCGGTGCGCTTCTCTCCTGCCGGTCACCCGGACATTTGCGCCCCCGGGCCGGTGCGCCCTAAGGCGGCCGCCTGTGCCGCCTTATGGACGCGCCGGCCCTGTAAATATGTCCCACTGAGAGATATCATCAGTATTTGTTTTTTTTGTGTTTCCACCTTGTGCACGGAGTTGGGGTTAATGGTCTCATTTCTATATGATATTTCACGCTGTGCTGTTTTGATTCCGCTGTGAGCTAAACATCACATTTATAGATAAACAAAAGGCAAGGTTGAAGGAAACAGCCTTATTTGTGCGTTTAGTTAAATCATTTTTTCTCCCTATAACGATTCTGTTCCCATAGTATTTCCCAAACAGAGCAGAATACACTTTAATCTCTCCAGGCCTATAAAAATATTTTAAGATGGTTATGTCTGAAAACGTTTTTTCTGCATGGATGGATTTTGTAGAATTCCTTTATTGTTAAAATGGATCTTAAAAATCTAAAAGCATATAAATGTACTGAGTTCCACACTTTGTAAGTATTCCTGATGCTTTTATATATATATATATATATACGTTGAATAAATTTATTTTGAGTAGTATGCATATATAAACTTATTTCACAAATTTTCACAGTGATACTTCAAGATTACTTATTAGTTAAAAGTAACATAGTATCAATTATACATACATAGAAAATAATCTTTATGTGAATGCAGAATTACTGCCCAGGTTTCACTTAGTAATAGGGCTGGATTTTACTATGAGAGAGAAGTTTAACTCAGTTTCTTGAATAGCAATCCCCCAGTGAACGACAGACAGACAAGCAGTAATATACTTATTAATGGTGTTATTCACTAGAGTTCAAAGTGAATTCAAAGATAATTTCAAATTTCAGGCCAAAGTAGCCATACTGATAGCATAGCTGATTTAAATAATTTTTCAGATTCGGTTGTTTTGGCCTTAAATTTGAAATTCACTTTAAATTTCACTTTTGTGAATAACCCTGTATGTGTCTGACTGGGTGCTATCTTCTTGTAATACAGGTCGCTTTGCTTCTAGCAGTTCAGCTCACTTAGTGCTGTCAGTGCCTGGACTGTGGATGAATACTGATAAGAAAGTGGTTTGTTTATTTTTTTTTGCTAGGGAGGCAGTTCTGAAAAACCTTTTTTGACAGAATTTCAAATTGAATTTCCTAGTTTAGGCCAAATTTAAAAAACAAACAAAAAAAAAATCTTAAAGTTTGCAATGTTTTCAATATGGCTTTTTTTTTACTTAAAATTTGAAAATCACTTTAATGTCACTTTAAAATCCCTATAATTCACTCATTAAAGAAGTTTTCCCAAATGTCTTTAGCGTGCCATGCTGTAAAGGTTCCCATTTGCTTGGTCACTAGGCATTGTAAGGCTAGTGTAACTAAGCACATCCAAGCACAAAGTTTTTCTAACAGATTGCAAAATAATTAAATTTAGGTATTGGTCCTCCGGGTACCATATTAAAATATTCAAATAGCTTGCTTAGTGTTTGAAACAATTTATTTTGAACTTACATGTTTTAGCAAAAAAATATTTTTACATATTTCTTTCAGTATGTTGTATTTTATAAAAACTCATTTAAATTAAAAATTCTAACCCCTTTATGTTGGCTATGACTTTTAATTTCTTTGGTAGTACAAAGAACACACAGTGTTACTTAGGTAATATATGATTCATTCTCTATTATATTAATTTGTTTTCCTAAATGCTTAACAGAAAACATTAAATCAAATTAACAACAGGAATCAATATTCAAGGATTCCATTAATGTGACAAATGTTCTTTCATCCATCTTAATTTCTGCTCCGTCACATCTCTGTGGCCCTTTTAATCTTAAAGCAAGTCTGATCATTTTTCAAAATTGTAAATTTGCTTAAATGGCCGTGATGTTGGGAAAATGGATAGGACATAACTTGATAAAGTGGAAGCTGGTTAACAATGTTCTCGTATAGTAAAATAATTACTACAGGATGAAAAATCCCCACTAATATAGTTTGCCTACTATAATTGTTGAATAACTTATGAGCTTCGTTAAATTTGAGACTACTTGGAGCAGGTCAAATGAGTGCTTTTCAATTTAACTTTTTGTCAAACTTCACTTAACTTCAACAGGTTATCTCTTGGCCACAATTAGATCTAGAACTCAATTTTTCGTAATTTTGCTGGACCTACGATGAGATTAAGTGTTCTAAAGTTGAGCAACAAAGGATAGCTTTTAATGCATTAACCAACATATGAAAGTATGAAGGTTGCAAATCCAGTAGAATTTCCAACAATTGACAGACTTGACGAGTTGTTATGAACTTAATTTATAGAACAAAACAAAATGGAAAATCTGCTTATTTTCATTTTAACACTGTCCTAATAATACTCCTAGCCCTCCCATAATTCAGTATGTGAAAGTTGTGTCCTTATCTTAAACTTTGAAAGTTAAGATTACTTTATATTGAAAAATTAGTCTCCGTTAATTACAGACTGATAACTCATCTTAAAGGGACACTACCTTGCCATAGTTCAAAAGAAATAAAAATCACTGTTTAGTAGATATAACCCAATGAAAACATGCATGCATTTAATTATGCATTTATTTTATTGTGGGTATATTTAAAAAAACAGCTTGTAGAAGCTGAATATTTGTTGTCTGCAGCCTTTGCAAGCCCTCCCCCTCTAGTCCCATCCACACTTTCTGTGGCTGTCCAATCACAGACTTCCCAATGCAGCTCAGTGAAAAGTCTTTGCAAGGCAGGTGCTTTGAGAAATTGCAGCATCTTGAGCGTAGCTCCACTGTGTCTAACAACCAGGAAGTAACAATACTGGTTATCTGATTGACAGTGGGGGTTGTAGCAAGGTTAATTTTAAAAGTGTAAATTTCTATTTTTAAATTTCTAAAATCTGAACTTTTTGTAAAATAAAAATTGGACATATTCTTCACATATAAAGCATTTCAGCAAGCTAAAGTGTTTTATGGGTCTGGAGTTTTCCTTTAATATTAATATCAAATGCTTTAGCTACAATGTAGCAAACTAAAATGTATTCACTTTCTGTGGTATCAGTCCTAGAATAAACAAACAATCTAAGGGATCCTGTCCTTAAAGGACCACTCTAGGCACCCAGACCACTTCAGCTTTATGAAGTGGTCTGGGTGCCAGGTCCAGCTAGGGTTAAGTTTAGTGGGATAGATTCGTTATCAGCCAATCTTTCTGCATTTGTGGATTCATATCTACAAAAGTACGCTCAAGGCTCTCTCTCCTATATAAAAGATACAAAATCATTTTTACAAGAATTGGAAAATATTGAATGGCATTCTAACTATAGTTGGGCCACATTGGATGTATCATCCCTTTATACTATAATCAGTCATGAATTGGGATTAGAAGCTATCAACCATTTCATGATGGAAGATCGTAATTTATCTCAGGATATTAAAGAATTTATTTTATATTCAGTTAAATTTATTTTAGAACACAATTATTTTTTCTTTAATGATAAATTTTATTTACAAATCACGGGAACCGCCATGGGCACCAGGTTCGCCCCCAGTTATGCCAACACCTACATGCGCAGATGGGAAGATTTAACAGTGTGGGTTGGTCATGACTGGAGGGAGAACCTGGTGCTCTGGCGGAGATATATCGATGATGTTATTATTATTTGGAAGGGGTCTTTTTCTTTATTTCAATCATTTGAGAATTATTTGAGTCAAAATGAATATAATTTAAAGTTTACCTCCACATGGAATCAAAAAGAAATAAATTTTTTAGATTTGTCTCTGATATGCGAGAATAATCAGATTAAAACAAAGTGTTTCTTTAAACCAAGTGATGGGAATGGGTATGTTCATCGGCAAAGTTGCCACCACCGTCCCTGGCTTAGAGGGATAGCTAAGGGACAATTTGCCAGGGTGAGAAGGAATTGCTCACAAGTTCAGGACTTTATAACACAATCTAACCATATAAAGAACAAATTGGTGGAAAGAGGTTATAAGAAGAATACACTTGATAGGGAAATTCGTATAGCTTTACAGACTGACAGGGGGAATTATCTGATGGACAAGCCCCGTGCCAAACCCTATCAGGAGAATATAACTGCCTTTAGAACTCAGTATTGTATAAACCATACTAAAATTAGGAGGAGTTTACAAAAACATTGGTCGATTCTCCAACAGGATCCTGTACTAAATCCTATTTTACCGGATCAACCTAAACTTATTTTTAGAAAAAATCAGAATTTTAAGAATACTTTGGCACCTAGTTATGCTATAAAAAATCTTGAGGCTAATCGAAAACCTGTTGATAATAATTCCTTTAGAGGTTGCAACTCTTGTAAAGCTTGCCATACTGTAAATCTTGAAAAAACAGATACTTTTTCCAGTTTCATTACAGGTGAAGTATTTCAGATAAAATCTGAAATCAGTTGCCGCACGGACCATGTAGTTTATTTACTGCAGTGCCCGTGCGGCAAGCAATATGTAGGCAGGACAAAGAGGCTTTTGAAAGTACGATTTCTGGAACATATAAATAATATCAAAAAGAACTTGGCTACTCATTCTATTCCAGTACATTGCAATCAATGTCCACTATTTTTCTTCACTGGTTTAAAATGTATTGGTATTGAAAGGGTATTAGCTGATTGGAGAGGGGGAGATAGGGTTAAAAAGTTGTCACAAAGAGAGACATACTGGATCCACAGGCTACAGACATTGGAGCCTGGTGGACTGAATGTGGATGT